TTAGGCTAACTAGGGAATTTACATAATAAAAATTTAGTGGTGTTTACTCGTAAAACCTGTGTCTTTTTGGTGTTGACCTTCAATCCGATGGATCTGATCGGTTTAGAATCTTCTTAAAATGTTCTCTCCACCTCTCTAGTTTTGCCATTTCCTCTGTAATTGCTGAACCGTCTTCTTCTTTTACAAGGAGGTCTTGGTGGGGACTGTGATCACCTCTTAGTTTCTTCGTGATCAGGTAAACGGTTTTCATCTTTTCTTTCCGCGGCTTTCTGTCCTTTCTCAGCAAGTTGCTCTGTGTAGCAGCGCTTATCTCTCCTTGCTGACTTCCTGACTTCCTTATCTTTCTTTCTATATAAGTCAGCTGTCCCTTCTTTCAATCTAGATGACTTTGCATCTAGGAGTTTTTCTTTTTTTGTTTCCTCTCTTCCATGGTAGTCCACGTGTCTTTGGATAACCATTCTGATTTGGCACGTCTCTTGTAGCCTTCCTCTGCAGCAGCCTCATTCATGGCCTGGTGGAATTGGTCAATAGTGTCAATAATCAATAATGTCTTGTCTTGGGAGTGTGCTGTATCGGTTCCTGAGCATGATGTTGAATTTTTCTCCGACACCTGTGTCCTTGAGCTTGGTAACACCAAATCGCTTGCTGTTGCTAGTACCGATCTTGGTCTTTCTCAGCTCAAGATGAATCCTGGCTATAGCAAGGTTGTGGTGACTACCAAAGTCGGCATGGCGTGGCGCATTGCTCGCATGTCCTGTAGAGAGTGCCTTTATTTACTGTTAATCATTATGTAATCAATCTGACTTTTGGTGCGTTATCTGGTGATGTCGGGGTCAGCTTGTGAATGGTTTTACGAGCAAAGAGACTGCTACCTATGACAAAGTCATTTTCCATTGTCTGTGAAGTCTCCGTTGTGGCTAATCTGCCCCACTCTTGCATTTAAGTTCCCCCATCAGAAGTGTGACATCATACCTTGGAATGTCATCAAGTACTGCTTGTAGAGAGCTTTAGAAGTTGTCTTTCGCTTCTTTTTCTGTGTTGTCAATTGGTTCATAAGCACTCACAAAGGAGACCTTCATGTACCAGGAGTTGAGTCTGGAAAACAGTAGACATTCGTTGATAGGCTTCCACTGAAGGATTGAATTGGCAAACTTCTAACTGATGAGAAGAGCTACTCCCTCGTGATGGTTTTTATCATTTAGTCCAGACCAAATAATGCCCTCCCCTGAGTTTAGTAGTCTCCGTTTTCCTGTTCCTTTTCACCTGACTTCACTCATGGACAGCAGTGATAAGTTGTGCTGTTTAGTCAAAAATCTACACCTATAAGAATTATATGATCTGAAGTACTAATGTTTTAAAAGAAATCATTAATTTGATATCATCTACGAGGGGTGATCAAAAAGTTCGCGAACTATCTCTATATTTAAAAAACCACAATTCAGATCAGAATGAAATTTGGCACATATATAGCTATACACAAGTTCTATAAATAGCAGATGTTAAATAATGTTTTGCTCAGTGTTTGTGACGTCACAGTGTGAAAATGACGTCAGTATATAGGTCACTTGTGACAAAAAATGGTTGACTCAGTCGTACTCGAGCAACGAACGGCTGTAAAGTTTAACGTATATCTCGTAAATTCCTTTGCAGTAGAACATGATAATTTGTACAAGGTTTATGAAGACAAAAGACTTACCAGAAGTTCAATCATTAATTGGATTGAATGTTTTAGTGAAGGCAGGGAGATGGTTAAAAATGATGTTTGTTCTGTTGCCCAGCGAAAGCAAGCCGGTAAAAAGATGTGTCCTTAGTTGAGCAATTTGTTTTAAAAGATCGGCAAATTACAGTAAGAAAAATAGTTGAATATCTGAGCAATAATATAATTATCAAATCCCTAAAATATCGTTTACTTTAGACTTTAAACATATGAGATATGAAAAAATGAAGGCGCCCATACTTTTTCCAGATTGGATAAACGACGCTCCCGAGACAGAGGACTCGGGTTGTGATGGTCGCCATGCTAATTCTGGGAAGGGATATCCTTATCCACTCATCCTATTGCCGAGACTAAGCCATTTCTGACAGATGATCTGTTCTTGTTATAAAAAATTACTTGCATGGTAAGAAATATAAGACTCGGAAAAATCTCTTAGCTTCTGTGAACAGATCTCTACGAAGCATGTCAAGTGACCGCCTGGATCACGTGATTCGCGCATGGGCAAAACGATGGCAGATATGCATTAAAATCGGAGAGGACTACTTTAAAAAATATTGAACACTAAAACTTAAACCTTATTTCTTTTAAGGAAGTAATTCAATTAGTTCGCGAACTTTTTGATCACCCCTCGTATTACAAAGCTATGACGTTACATGCACAACCACCTTTTGTTAGATATTGTCATAAATGGTAATAAATCAAATTCAAAACATCAAATTATCTCTGAGTGGGATATGACTCTAGCCTTAGTACATAAATCCTCGAACCGCTTAACTGCGTAACGCAGTGGAGTAGACTGTGACGTCATAGCTAGATATGACTCCTGTTCCAACGGGAAAAGAGCATTCGGCACACCTCGGCCAATTTGTACCTTATCGTTTGATGAAGGCAACGGAATCTTCCGAGGTTTGCCAAATAATAATAAAAAGATAAAAACGATAGAACCTCTAACGCATGTCTTGGTCACTGGTTTATACAAAAGTAAAAAAAGTTTCAAGGATGGCTAGATTGGTTATCCAATTGAAGAGACGTTTGGTAGACATAAGACAACAAACTGAAAAGTCAGGAGCTGGATGTCAGAAGAAAAGAGCACCGTTTAACTACGCATGTATTTGGGTTGGGAAATTGTGTATTTAAAAAAAAAAAAAGAATAACGCCATACACATGTATTTTGTTAACTCTTGTATGTGTGAGATAGATACCTGCCTGGGTAATTAACAGAAAATAAAATGCAGTGTCAAATTTATGGTTATGAACAAATTAACAAACACCAGGAACTACGTTTTGACATTGTCAGTGCAGCCGCCAACAGCCTTTTTTGTTAGATTCGTTTAACCAAGAGAAAAAAATGTTATTTATGCAGGTACTTTAATGAAATATTTTATGTACCATTCAAAAATTGTTGATTACTGTGCACGAGATTTTTTGACTTCAGAATATTAGCGAAAAAGAAATAGAAAATGTTTGTGTTTTCTGGGCAAACCTCGTAAATCATGACATTTAACAAAAGTTCCATGCTTTCATACTTTGAATCTATCAAGCCATCCACTTTTTTTTAGCTTTTGGCAAATAAATGGTCTTACAATTCTCGTATACATGCTGAGGTATATGTGGTTTGCATTTTTAAATAAATATGTTCTTGAAAGGGGCCTAGACATAGTTCCGTTGTTTGTATTTTAAATTTCTATGTTTAATCAAAAACTAAATTCAGTTTAATGAATTAAACTTACACAAATATTCTTAAAATTCAATGACAACGACATTCTTTTTTTACAAAATGTACATCATGACAAATATTTGATTTTGTAAACAGGCCATGGGCTGTTATTGTTAATGTTTACGTTTTACTGGGTGTGTTCCATTTGTTTACCCTGTACACATCACTGAGCACGAACTTACAATACTGGTGAGTTGGTTTTGCTTTCCCAAACTTGTTCTCTGAATTCCTTGATTATAGTTTTAATATTGTTTATTAATGCACAACATTTCTAATTTTCCTGAGTATTAAGAATAAAGTTTACTTCATGAAAGTGTAAGGTTATGTGTCAATCAAATGCGTCCCAAAATTCGTAGTTTTAATAATTTGCAGATGAAAGTTTTTAAACACGCTTCTATTATATTTCTGCGTGAAATGCCCTAGCAACATATAAATCATGATATTATACTGAAAATTTTAGAGAATATTTACTTCAAATTTGTGTCCCAGCCCCTTAAAAAAATGATAATCTTCTTGTCATTAAAATAGGGCCAAACCTCTTAATCTAAAACTCGATTTGACTGAGAAAGACATCTGAGGCTTTGACATATCAAGGGTAAAATACTTGAAAATAAGTGGTTGGGATTTCCAATTCACTTTAACATAATAATATTCTTGGTATTCAATAAGGTATTGGACATAATCAATCAATCAATCAAAGTTCAACTGTAATGTATTAAGAATAAGTAGCTACCAGATCTATTGTTTATGTTCATTTGACTGTAAAGTATTAATTTTGATTAAAGTACAGCTAAACCTCATTATATTAGTTCCAATGGGACCAAGAAAAAGTTTGAGATGTCCAAGGATTTGAGATATCAAGGGTAAATTACTTAGGGAATACTAGTATGTGTTTGGAACTTCCAAATCACTTCAACATGTATGTGGTTTTTGAGATATCAGTGTTTGAGATATCGAGGTTTGACTGTACAAGGAATACATCTGAAAAACACCGCTGCATATCTGAATTGGATTAGCTAGGAAATATTGCACTCTGTCCCCTTACTATAAACTCTGTCCCCTTACTATAATTCATTGAGACAAACTTTTTTATTTCTTATTTATGAGCTTTTTTATACAAGTAACAATGATAACAATGCTATGTTTAAATAAACATACTATGTGCACACGAGAAATAAGAAAGAGATCTACTTTGTTCCCTGATTAATAGTAAAATGTTGATGTTGTACAATAATATTGGATTCTTAAACAATGTAAGGAATGATTTCTAACATATATTGCATAATAAATAATAAAGTTTGTGAGATCTACATATGTACAAAAACTTAAATAAAACAAAAACTAACAAGAAAACAACTGTAAATTGGTCATCTTGAAAAAAAAATGCTTGAGATTCCTCTTTATCAATATAAATTTTCAACTGATCAAATACTGATCAGATTTGTATTGATTGACAAGATAAAACCAGCAAACCTCATTAAGGAAGAGGAAGGAAACTGACTGTAACAAAAGTTTCGAAAACAATTTTCTATTTCTTAAAAACATGTTCATTTTCTCCCTCGTCATTTTAGAAATATCATTTAAAAAAAAAATACTATGTCAGTGCTTGGTTTGGTATGTTTCCCAATATAAAAAAATTCCAGCATCCTTTGCCTCAAACAATCCTAGCATTCTTTGTCTCAAATAATCCCAGCATCCTTTGCCAGCTGATAAAACAAGCTGTCAGTTTTTTGTAGTAATGTCTGGGGACTATCAAATTCTCTTACTACACCCTGCTCCAGTACCATAATCCTAAACCAACCAAAATGCAAAGAATTAAATCAATATTCTTTTCTGATTATTACTAAGGAATGTTTCTTTATAAAAGAATTAAACCATGTTATAATATCAACAAAAGGTAAAATATTTAACAATAGGTAAAATATTTAACAAGAAACCCTGTGGCCACAATGCTCATCTGAATCACTTTGGCCCTGCTGTTCTTCATCAGTAAATGTTTTCCCTAATATACATGCATTCCTATGCAAAACTAGTCCTTACACATTATGGCCTCATACTTAAAATATTGTTATTCTAATTGAACAGTGAACGGATGGACAGATTGACAGACAACAGGTGATTAGAAAAGTTCACTTGAACCATCTGTTTAGGTGAGTTAAAATCAAAATATCCTAAAACGGTATTATGAAAGAAATCCTCAATCAAATTATCATTTGTTTGTTTTATTTTAAAAGTTGGGTTTTGAAACCATCGATATCACTTTGAACATAACAAAATGAGCATGCAAATTTATTAGTATAAATTTGAGTATTTATAACCTTTACAATTGTTGATTTTTTTCATGTTACTTTATACCTGTCATAATCTATTACTGTGTTCAGACGATGTGCTATGGTCAGAACTGTGCAATCACGGAACTCCTGTTTAACAGTATTCTGGATGAGTTCATCCGTTTTCATGTCAACTGCTGCTGTAGCTTCATCCAGAATGAGAATTTTGGTCTTGCGTAAGAGTGCTCGAGCTAAACAGAGAAGCTGCTTCTGTCCAACACTACAACCAATCAAATCCCAGAATAAACTTAAGTAATACATTGTTTCTCTTCATGAAATTCATTGTGAATTTGTTTCTTATAACTATTATGTTTCTTCTCTTAGCCCTATAAAAAACTTGCTATTTTTGAAAGCAGTAATTTTGAACATCAGCAGGCAACAGGAAATATATATAATAAAAGGGAGGATATCCATGAAAACTGCATGTATCATTGGAAAGTACGGAATATTGCCATTAAATTAAATGGTAATGTTAAATTATTTTATATTTTATTAATCCAACTTTTTAGATAAATGTATCATAAAAAATTCTCAATTAAATTTCTGGGAACACTATAATTTAAAAATTCTGAGACATAAAATTTAATTTTACATTTATTAAAATACAATTATTTATAAAACAAGATCAACGTTGTTGACAACATTTTTTCAATTTTTCTACACCTGAGATTTTGCCCCCCTTCTCCGCAGTCATACTCCAGGCCAGTGGGCAATGTCTGGACAAAGTCCTTCAGATGAGCATGCTCCAGGGCCTCCCACAAAGTCTGGTCAGTGTATCGACTCATCGGGTCCAAGTTCATTCTCAGGGTCCCAGAAAATAATACTGGGTCCTAACAGACCAAGCAGTGATTAGAAACATTTACTTGTAAGGTAAATTTACAAGAGGAAGAACAGAGACGTAAAGAATTATTACATAATATATATATATTTATAGCAAAACACTTAAACCAACTCATGCACTTATAATGAATTTAGGCTTATAGCGAGGTGATTTCCATTTCCTTTGGTTTTGAATAGTATTAAGAACTTAACGGATATAACGAATTACAATTAAAACAAAGCAAAATTGTCCTTCCCTGGCGATTTGCTATAAAAGTGTTTTACTGTATCTAATCAGCATAACAATTACAAAACACAAAAGTAAAGATCCCTAAAATCATTAGCTTGTACATAGTGTATGATTGGAAATATAAATACTTTTCTAAAACTAAAATAAGACGGTAGTCAAGAAGTACCTGTGGAAGTATGGTTAATCGTGACCTGGAGTCGTGCAAACCCATGTGAGAAAGATTTTCTTTATCAATGATAATAGAACCAGATGTTGGTTCAATTAACCGGAAAAGTGCCAAGGTCAAGGAAGACTTTCCGGCTCCTGTTCTTCCCACTATTCCAACCTACAGTCCAAAGAAAATGGCTAAACAATCAAACAACATGGCTAAACGATCAAACAACAAAAGCTAAACTTATTCTTAAAAAGTTTTTTTCTTAGAGTTGTTGATAATTTGCAAAACTTAATACAATTTCATTTTTAGGATAATTATAAATTTTGAATTATTTTCGGTTACTCTGTGAAATTGTTTCTTGATAGCTAGGGCCTTTTAGTCTGTTTTTATATTGGTAAAATTGACCTCTTTGTGTCTTTTCTTATTATTAATCTAAAATTTCTTAAAAATAAACCTTTTTTAAAATATAAAATCGTTTTCGTCAATTTACCCCATTATTAGAAATAAAAAGCAATATGTAGATTGAAGTAAAATATTACCTTTTCTGAGACATTGACCTTGAAATTGACATTTTTCAGTACCAGGTCAAGGCCACTTCTGTACCTAGTGGAGTAGTTTCTGAACTCCACAACACCTTTTGTCGGCCAATCATGTGAAGGTCGATGATAGGGATTTTCAAGGCCAGCCTGTATATCATAATCTTTTATCAACACTGATGCACATACAATATTCAAGTGAAAATCTGACTCCATGATTACAGTTGAAGTGAACTACAGATGAACTTTGGCTCAAAGTCAACAGGTTTATCTCAAATACCATGGATATGTTCAAGTGATTTCAAAGTCCCAACTACTCATTCTTTAAGTATTTTACCATGGATATCTCGAATCCTTGGATATTTTGATATTTTAAGTTTTTTCCTCGGTCCCATCGAGTTTAAGATAACGAGGTTTAACTGTATTTAGCCATAATGTACATTTGTGTATTCATTTTCACTCAATAGCTTTTACAGAAATGCCAAACAGAGAAGTATACAGTGTAGTTAAACTTTCCAAAATGATATGTATAGTGACTTGACTCAACAGTTTTGCATGCTCTGATTAATAAGGCTGTGACTTAACCTCGGTTGGTGTCTTGGTGTATTCCGATACCCTCTCCACGGCCACAATGTTAGTCTCCAGCTCCGAGAACATCCTCACTAGCCAGTTCAGATTCTCAGTGATCTATAGGTCAATTAATCAAAGTGTGCTACCAGTAAACTAAGAGAGCACTGTAAAAATATTTCAGTGTTATAGGATGGTCTCAGAAAAACCAAGCTCTTCTGGCCCTGACTTTTCTAATATCTCATCACAAAAAGTAGATATCATACATATTTCATTACCCTCAGAATAAGGTATTAATTTTCTGCATTCCGTACTATAGTAAAAGCTTCTTCATATGCATTCAGGGCTTTCAATGGGGGACGGGGGAGGGGGATTAAGGAAGCAATTTATCACTGTTTCAATGATCAAAATTTGTTGCTTTAAGTTTCACTAGTTAACAGATAGTCTTACCTGTAGAGCATAGGAAATAGAGAGTCCAACTATTCCTCCCGGTATCGTATCTCTGGCCAGAACAGCAAAAATGACTGCCGCCAGAACTACAAAATTTCCCAGGAGATCCAACCTGAATCCAAGCCACCTACAAAGAAAGTCTCCATATAACTTAGTCTCACAGCTTTATTGATGACACAACAAAGGATTTAATGCAATTTTCACAAATGACTCTTTCTTGGCACAGGGGGGAAGTGATGCAAAATAACAATATAAGTGGAATAAGCATTTTTAAAAATGGAACAATTAACATTTTTACACCAAGGATGCCATACTTAATATTTTGAGGATGTAACATAAGACATCCCTATTTAAATGTAAAAAAATTACTGACAAAATTGTTTTTAAAACTATTTTAATAACCAATGCTTTCAATAATGCTTCACCTATTAGCAGTGTTACTGGCAAAAGTGAACACCTGGTTTTTATCTACTCGTTTTTGGGACTCAAGAATAAACTCGTTCTGTAATCCAAAGGCTCGAATGACACTCGCTCCAGTGACGGTCTCACCAAAATGGCTGTAGATAGGAGAACGCGTCTTCGACTCTAATCGTTTTAGCTGACGGGAGGTTGCAATGTAAAATCTCTGCAAAATAAAAGTAGGGTTTATCGGTCTAAAAAAAAAAGCTCAAAGTATTATCTATATGAACATATAATTCAGCATTGGAGAAAATCACGAAAGTTTGTATTATGAAAGAAGGCAATGACTGTAGTGTTTGCACTCTGTTAACTGTATGAAGACTTATGAAGACAAAAATTGCTGCTTTACATGTATATAATTATATGTTTCTGGTTCTTGATGCCAAGAAAAGTATACCTGTGCAAGAAAATAAAGAATCCCCAAAGGCAGAATAACTGTCATAAATATGGGAGTACTGAATGAGATGACGATTAATGCTCCCAAAACCATCAAAACGCTGTCCACAAACATGAAAAATGTATTTGGCAACTCTCCATCAATGGTGCTGATGTCATCAGAGAATCTATTTACAATGCGACCCACAGGGGTCGTATCAAAGAAGGACATAGGTGAGCGCACAATGTTCAATAGCATTTTCTGGTGGAGAATCCTTGAGGCGATAACGTTGCGGACCACAGAGATGAACAACATGATTACTATGAATGCAACTGAAAAGATAAAACAAACCTCATTTCAAATACCACGTATCTCATAATTGTCTTTCAGAGATTTCAATGTTTTTATAAACAAGGACAATTTTTCACAGTTTTTGGTTACTATTGTCTATAATCTCAAATATTAATTCAAATATACACAAGACTGTAATTTTTTCAAGCAGATCGTCTTGCACAAAAATAAAGTTCATTACTTATATTGAAAGCATGTAAATTACTTGTATTCTAAAAACAAATTATATATATATAATCCCCCCCAAAAAACCAAATAAAATAGATAAAACATAATGATATCGAGAATACAATTACCCTGCACTGCTCCCAAGCCACCATAAATACCGAAGTAGAAGTCATTCCTCTCCCTGCGCATTGAACTGTTTCCGAGGACGGAGGAATTCTTGAGAGTGGCATTCTCTGTCCAGTAACTTACCCAAGTTGTGGAAAATATACTAACAGCAATAAACACAACATACAGTGCTAATATTAATACGAAATAAGGTGTTCCTAAGGCTCGAATGTACTCCAAGTACACACTTAGCTTAACCTGAAACAGAAATTTATTGGCATTTGAATTGACTATTTTACTGTCTATAGTTCTTAGCTTTTAAGTGAGTTCAAACATCTGTTCATTTTTCTGTTATTTTGACACTCTCTTAATATAAAATAGAGATAACTTTAACTACAATGCAGACAAATATAACATAATCAAATGGTCTGAGTAGAAAATCTGACACAGATTATAGTTAAAAATAAAACTTTATTAAAAATATCAAATCTAGCATTATCTCCCTTACAAAGGTTCATGCCTCATTAATTTGGGAGACGTTTGTCTCCAATTTTCATTTGTTTAAAAAAAAGACATTCCTTAATTTTGAGGGTATGATTTCTTGTAAAATCTTAATCTTCCCTACTTTATTAATATTCATATATAAAATCTTTATAGTTTTGATGAAATCATGAAAAGGAAATTGTGGTGTTACAGATATTATCCGTTCCGGTTCTGATTTTATAGTGTTTCAGATTATGTTTTGTGTACGTCCGAGAAGATCCCGCATTTTATTAACGAGAATTTTGCCTCTTATTTCATTGTTATTAGACAGTCCAAAGAGTAAGTTTTATGTGCAAAATGTATAACACTACTTAGTTATCAAATATGTAATATAAAGCCACACTAGTTGTCATCAAACAGTTTTTGCATATTTTAATGAAACATGAAATTGGAAAGCGCACATGGTCATGGCATTATGTGAAAACTGGATTAGATATTATCATCTGTATTATTTTGTTACATTTCCATGACCTTTACATGAAGTTACTTGTACTTATTAGTAAACTGATATATTCTACAATGAACATTTATCTGTGAACGTCATGTTTACTGTCGTAAATCCTTATTTTCTCGAAATTTTGAATTTTGGCATTATGTAAAACATGGAATGTTAGTTTGTAGCAACTTTGTCAATTTGATGTTTATAATTTTAAGTTGTTTGCCTCTAATTACCACTTTGTAAGATGACTTTTTTTTTTTTATTATTGTAGTCTCTTACCCTCTGAAGTAAATCTATGAATGAAGAGGCCAATAAACATCTTCAAAAATCTTTGGGACTGGTTTGTGCACAGAAATCATTATGAAATTTCATTTCCCCCCCACAGTTAGCAACTAGTCTTACACTGCCTATTTCAGCCTTTTCCTCTTCTATAAGTTTGTGGGTTTCTGTAGGTTTATTCTTTTTCTCCATTGTTTTGTCGTCATTCTGTGTCACACTTTGCTGACGTGTCACACTTCGCTGACGAATTAAAGTCGTCTTCTTACTTTCAGATTCTGACACTCTGATCAAATTTGAAAATTTCCATTAAAATTCTTCAATATTTTTTCCAACGTTCCTTTTTATTGTACAAAAGAAATAAACACTGGCTTTATAGAGGAGCAATGATTCTTATGTTTCAACTTAAATACTGATAAAGATTAAGTCCCCTGAATATCACCTGTCCTCACTGTCATCCTCCGACGTTACGGACGTCACAGATATCAGTCGTTGTAGGATTCTCTCCTTGGCTTCCTGAACTTTTCAATTAAAAATAAAATTATAGAATACTTTGTCAGCATAAATTATATTTTTTCAATCAGATGGTGTATTTTTGAGGAGTTGTTATTTTTCTAATATTTGATTCATGCACAGCATTGTTCAATAATTTTTGAAGGAGGAAGAATTCTTTCATAATTAAGTGGGTTCTGAAAATGTTCCAAAGAATAGTATTTTCTAAATATAAATTTAATTCTTTTAATCTGTATTCATAATATCTGGTGACAGGTCACTGGATCAGTAAATTACAGTGTACATGTACTATATGTTATATATGAATGGTTTGTAGTATTCGTTTACTGTGGGTAGTCATGGTAACAGAATGATGTGAGCCATTGTGTGACTAAGTAAAACCACAACACTGCTTTAAATTAAATATATATATATATATATATATATATATATATATATATATATATATATATATATATATATATATATATATATATATATATATATATATGGAAAAAATTGTTTTGTTATTCTTGTGTTTTGTTTAATTAATGACCACTTAAGGACTCCTATCAGACATATCTGAGCCCTCCGATTGAATATCTTAAGTGTTGAACTCACTAGTAAGAAAGCTAGAAAATTTTTGTCCTAGACTCTAATTTTTGAAAATACTGTATTTGTAAATCTAGTGTACTTGTAAGGCTTATTGTACCTAGGAAAATTATTTAGCACATGATTTATTGGTGACAAACAAAACAATAGGCCCATGGGCCACAATACTTACCTGAGTGATTTGACCCTGCTGTTGAGACTGCATCAGATTTTTTCCCAATATACAATGTACAACTGTATTCTAATGGAAAACTTTTGTGACCCCATCCCATATATTGATGTGCACAATTTACATCATACCCTGCCTCAGGAAGATTTCATTTCAATTTCATCTTTTCTGCCCAAGTGGCTTTTGAGATTTGTTCTATATATATCAGTGTAAAACTTTGATTCCCTATTGTGACCCCACCCTACCCTTCATGGGACATGATTTGAACAATTGACAATCTCACTACCTCAAAAGCTTTTACATTAGTTTCAGCTTTTCTGGTCCACTGATTCTTGAGAAGATTTTCTAGATTTTTCCCATATAGTTCAATGTAAAAATTTGATTCCCCATTGAGGCCCCAACCATCAGGGGGAGGGGGAGGGGGAAGAATTGATTAATTTAGAATCTACACTACCTTAGGAAGCTTCCACATAAGTTTCAGCTTTTTGAATCATTGGTTCTTGAAAAAAAGAATTTTTAATAAACCCACCTTATTTTTCCCTGTTCTTGATTATCTCCACTTGGAAGGAGGCTTGCCTCTTCATTTTAACAATTTAGAATTCCCTTTACCCAGGGATACTTTGCACAAGCTTTAATAAACAGTGACCAGTGGTTCTTGAGGAGTTGAAAAAGTGATAAGTGTACAGACAGACTGATGGTAGCCGGACAAGTAGTCAAAAAACACATTAGAGCTTTCAGCTCAGATGAGCTAAAAAGAAACTCAGCATACAATTATTGCCACCCTCATGCTACCCTTTAGATAGGGACAAGAGTGGAAACAAACAATTTACATACAGAAACCCAATTATGGCATTATTTCGATCAATACATTATAAGACAAAACAAGATGAATACTATCCCAGATTACACAAATCTAAATCGTAAGACACTCTCCATAAAAACCCACCTTCTTGATCCTCCTCTGTTTCCTCTTTCTCTTTGTCAGCAGTGAGGTACGTGCTGAGGAACTCGGCGAATGGTCCAGCATGGTCCACTAGCTCTTCATATGTCCCAACTTCTGATACACTGCCATTGACCAGCACTACAATCTTATCTACTTTTGGCAGCCAGTGTATTCCATGAGTGACCAATACTCTTGTCTACAAATATTGTAGTCATTTAATTGAAGGCAAATTTGTTTATAAGTATATACACAAATTTTAATAATGTGGTATTAAAATATTTCATATCTAAATATCTAAACATTTGATTCAGATGAAGAAATGTACACATAAATAAAGAAAAGAGTTAGAAACAATGAATATCTTGGAATAAAAATAAACAGACATATGTTACAAAATCTGGAGCACCAGGCAATACATGTATATTGCAAACCAACTTTTGTCATGTCTGAGTGCAAGAAGTATCTGTGTTTCACAAGTTCCTTTTTACTCACAAAAACTCCGTTCCGTGAAAAATCATTTAAATGTATTTACGTATAGTTGTGATCTTATTTGAAATACTTTCTCAATTTCAAAAATTAATAGTTGTTGATTAATTTTATAGAGACGAATTGCAAATAAAAGTTATTATGGCCCCGCAAGGATTTGCGGGTGCCCTATAGTAATCACTCTGTCTGTCTGTCTGTCTGTCATTCTTCCGTCCACAAATTTTCTTTTTTCTAATAACTTTTTTTGTAGTTGAACAATTAAGTTCAAATTTGATATGTTGGTTGAAGAGGCAGTAAGACATATTTTGATGCTCTCTGTCATCCAGTTTGGAGCTGGGGTGGTGGGGTAGATTCCTTAACTTTACATTAGAATGAATGCCAGGGCAAAGAGAGATAACTGCTGAGAATGTTCCTATTGTAAACTATGAAAGCTGCAACTAGTCCCGTGGGATTAATTAACTTTCCTCTTGAAGAAAATCCAAAGCTTTATCTGTTTCTGTCAAATTGAGATTAATTTACACCTCTGTCTGCAAATGAAGTTTGTTTTGAAGTTAATGTCAATTCTGAATGATGTTTACATTCTCTGAAATGTGGATTGAAATAATGTTCATACTTTATTTTGGTAAAATACACAATGAGTTATGATTTTATTGAATTCTAAAAACAAGATATACATAAAAATATGTTTTTTTTTTAAAATTTTTGTTTGTTTTTTTATTTATTTATTTTTTTTGCTGCCGTATGTAAATTCAAGAATACTATTAATTTTAACAGGTAGTCCTATAATAAATTCATTCTATCATTTCTAAAAAAGTTCTTATTGTAAACTTGGAAGAAAAGGATGAGAGAGCAGTACAATTAATCCCCTGGGATTAATAATCTTGTCTGGGGCAGAAAATTTTTCAGGCTTATCTTTATTTGTCACTTTAAGATAAATTAACCTTTGTCTGCAACTTTGTCTGCAACTGATGTTTGTTTTGAAGTTAAGGTCAAGCCTGGATGATATTTGCATTCACCAAAGGCTGGCATTTTATAAAACATTTTATAAAACACATACTTATTCTAATTTAAATATACATTTAATTGAGTTATGGATATGATGTTTTTACTGCCTTATGTAAATACAGGGATACTCTTTACAGGTTGTTGGATGAAATATATGGAGATAACGAACAGTATTCAAGCTCAAAAGTCCATTATACAATACAAAATAGGAGCAGAGCAAACACGGACCTCCAAACATCAGAGGTGGGATCAGGTGCTATGGAGGAGTGAGCATTACCTGCCGACCGGCCACACCCGCCGTGTGCTCCTTGTCATGATCGGGAAATAACGGAAAAATCCGTCGACAATTCAGTGTGTAAATAATGGCCTAACAATCAGTATGAAAAACGTCAGTCAGCACCTGACTCAATGATAAATTGTATTTGCTGACAAGGTCATTGTATCGACCATAGAACTTACGAAATGATGACTTTAAACGAGACAGCTGATATTCTTGCCTCATCAACTTATTTGTCAATAACTTACCTCGTTTTAGAAATTGTACATACGTAGAGCATGCTCTTGCGTATCGAATCAACTGAGAGATATATACCCCGTATGCAGGTGATGAAGGTATATTGCTGCATAAGTAAAGGAAGTTGACGATTGAAAAGTTAAAGTCATCACGTTTATCATAAAGCTTGGTTGTTAGATTACCATTAACGTCTTTTTCAAGTAAAATATCCAAATATGAAACAGATGTGTCAGACTCTGTGGTATCTTTTATCTCAAGTTCTCCAGGATATATCGTATCGACATAAGAATGAAAATAGCCATTGTTAATTGACAATACGTCGTCGATATATCTAAATGTCGAGTTGAACGCCACAGCAAGTGTTTTCTTCTTTTCACGTACAAGATTTTGGACAAATTCTGCTTCATACGAATACAAAAAAAGGTCTGCTAATAACGGGGCGCAATTGGTACCCATAGGAATTCCAATAGATTGTTGGAAGACCTGGTCTCCAAAAACCACATAGATATTGTCAATCAGAAACTCAAGCATCTTTTTAATGTCAACTTCAGAGTACTTGTGTGTACAATCAGAATGTTTTTTAACAAAATAATTTTGCAAATGACCAATGACAAGGTAAGTATATTTACGAGTTCCATTTTTATTGAAAAAGCAGCTGTCAATGATATCAAAAAGCATTGACTTTAATTTATCGTGGGGAATGGTTGTGTATAAAGTTGAAAAGTCGTAAGTTTTAAAGCTGTTGATCTTGGTAAAATCTTGTGATTTCAAATTTTCCAAAAGTTCCTTGGAATTTTTCAGTATCCACATCTGATTTACACCACTTCTCGAATATATTGTTGCCCAGTACTCTTGAAGTTTCTCCTTCACCACTGTTAATATCTTAGTGAGGAGTAAAGATAGAGGCTTGGTTGAACATTTACTGGAACCCGCTATGTATCTTTGTTTGTAAGGATTTTTATGAAGTTTTGGAATCCAATATAAATATGGTAATTCGAATTCATTTTGGTTGTTTGGAATATTAAAAATATTCAAAACTGACATATGATTTTGAAGAATTTCTTCCTTAGAAAGGGAACTATGAGTATAAGTTGGATTACCACTTGTAGAATTAAATCCAAGTTCCTCTAAAATACATTAAATATAATGGGCCTTACAAACAAAGACAATGTTGTTACCTGCTTTGTCAGCAGGGACCAGTACGTACTGATCATGTAATCTATCTAATTCTTTTTTCACTTCTGCATTATTGAATACAGAAGGATAGATGGTTTTCATATTGCCTCTCAATCTTTTAATACTTAGGAATTATCTTGAAATTTTATAAATAGAGTTGTTATTGCATATTCTTCTTCATATATTTTTTTAATTTTTGTAATCAATTAAAATTCTCATTCTGTAAGCTGCACCCTTATATTTCTACCCCTTGGCGGGGCCCTTGCTGACTGGTCAGTTTTCTAGTTAAGAATAATGGTTGCTGTACAATAATCTCTATTCATTCCTTTTTTGACAATTAATCTGACAATCTTCTTCTTGAGGCCCTCTTTAGTCTTTATGTTAACCTTATTTTGAAGCATTCCTGTATTTCCTATAACTTCATCAAACAAATGCTTGCCAACATGGGAATCTACAGCAGACAAAGGATCATCTAGGAGATAAATGTCTGTGTCATGGTATACAGCTCTGGCCAAACTCACTCTCTGCTTTTGTCCACCACTAAGGTTTACACCCTGAAGAAAATTCCAAATATTTTTCTTGCATCAAAATTAATCTGATTGCTTCACACAGGTAACTCATGAAACTTCTTACAACAGAGCTATATTTTGTATTTTGATGTCAAAAACAATATATAATTTTCTAAGATGTTCGAAGTCGCCCGCGTGGCACAGTGGTTAGAGCGTCTGCTCTAGAGTCGCGAGGTAAGGAGTTGATCCTTACGTCCGGGTTCGAATCCCACTGTGGGACGTGGAGACCGGTCCTTCGGATGAGACCGTATAAATCGAGGTCCCGTGTCGCAGTAGGTGTTGGCACGAAAAAGACCCCTCACTGCTCAATGACCGTAAGTGCCGAGCATTGGACAAAATTTGCAGCTCTCCACCGGCAAGTGGTGGCGTCTCCATATGAGTGAAAAATTCTCGAGAGCGACGTTTAACAACATACAAACAAACAAACAAAGATGTTCGAAAATGATCTGCAATATTATATTTCATGTCGAGTTAAAAATAAAAATTTTGATGAATATTACTGATGCTTTCCTTTTAATTAATCTGACAAAAAATATTTTTAAAGACATAAAACAGATCACCAACATTTTATATCTTTAAGTTTGCAACTTTAGGTACAGGCCCTATTGAATACCGTTCGGTATCCACACGTGAGAATCTTCCACAATTTCAACCTCAAGGTGTTGGTCTCCAGTTTTTCTTTGTTTTGTAAAGAATATTTTTGGAAACAGTTTGAATGATCAAAAGTCAACATAAAATTAGCTTCACAGAAAATTAACATACATTTTCTCCTATTTCTGTCTGGTCCCCAGATGGCAGTATATCAATGTCTGGCTGTAGAGCACACTCTTTGATAACTTTCTGGTAGAAAGCAGATCTCATTGGCCGACTGAATAAAATGTTGTCTTGCACACTGTTGTTCTGAATCCAGGCTTGTTGGGGAACATACGCCATAGTACCCTGTTGTAAAGAGGGTCATTAGTGTCTCTGTCAAACTTTTTTAACAATTTCCTGACTATAACAACATAAAACAAACTTTAAATTAGACCGAAAGACTTACATTTCATTTTGACATTTTATTGTATTTTTTTAAACATCAATCAAAAGAAGTACTGTTTTTATACTTTTTCTGCATACATTTTTGTACCTTTCTTTCAAACAGTTTTTAAATGTACCAGTATTTTTCATTTCTGTTCATGAATACAATTTACTTTACCCTGACGTTAATTTGACCTTTGACCTTGATCATTTCTCCCAACATGGCCGACAGTATGGATGACTTTCCTGATCCCACCTGTCCTACTATGGCCACTAAACTACCCTCCTCAACAGTCAGATCAATGCTAGAAAGCAACATTCAAAGATGACTATAGAAACACTTTCAAAAATAATATGCTGCATATTAAAAAAAATAAGAACTTTGATAGCAGTATTTGTACCTATTACATGTACATATATAAAGTGACAGCATTTTTAATCTTACTTTTTCAAGCATTCACCAACTTCAGGATCCCACATAAAGCTGCCTTGATTTATGACTATTGCATCATCTGAAACAAAACCCTAACCATATACATTTCATGTAAGACACACATTCAAATAATTAAAGTCTTCCGTCTTCAGTGTAAGACCTTGTTATTCTAAGCTAGGTTTCTTTTTCACTTTAATGGCTCATTTTTGCACATAATTATGACCATAGATGTCTCTCGATCTACTCTCCTTGAAAATTAGATGGATGACTTATTTTTTTGCTTTGCAACAAGCTTGTCTAGTTACATGATATATTTGTGTTTGCTTCAATGGTACTCTTAACAATACATGTATTATGATAAAAAAGGATACGTACCTCCAATACGACTGTGTGTTACACACTCAGGGTCCAGATCTGGATTGTTCAGGAAATTGTTCAGCCTATTGAGTGAGACAACAGCTTTCACCACCTCTGTCATTATGTATGGTGCCATATTCACAGCAAAACGTAGAATATTAAGCAAGGTAATTCCAACAAAGGCCACTTCCGGAGACAAGAAATGTGTGTCAATGGTATAAACATAAACACCGAATGTTAGCATTGAAACCTGGCAAAAAAGTCATTACCATGAAAGATAGCTAGAAAAATAGATGAAATTTGAACACATTAATTTTATCATAACTTCAACTTACTTAATATTTGCTACAAATTATTTTAGTGAGATTGTCATTTGGTATTTATATGCAAGGTATGATTTTCAAAAATTTGATTTTTGTTCTTTATAATCTTTACATATACAAAAACACAAGAATTAAATATTTGTGAGCAGGTGATCTCACATAATTGAAGGAAGATAAAGTTCTTGCAAATAAAAAGTAATTCAGATTTTAATGTGTGTTACTTAAATCATTGATTTAGGTACATGAATGTAAATATTGCAATTTACAGGTACGATAATATATTATTGAAGGATGTCGTGTTTACCATATATGGAGCCAATATCCATGACAAACTGAAGAAGAGACCAATCATGCTCTCCTTTTTTAAGATACTTAACTCCACATTACGAATTGCCTCTATCTTGTCTTTGAAGGACATTTCCCAGGCATATAATTTCAGAATCTATATAAAGAAAAAGGGTTAGGTTTAATTATATATATAATAACAGTACATGTTCTACATAATGTAAACCAATCCTACCAAAAAAAAAAAAAAAGAATATGACACATGCATCAGTGCTATCTTAATTAGGAATGACTAAATATTACGTACAGTGTACAGTGTTTATAATGAATATTAAAATTCAAATAAAGAATTAAAAAAAAGGTTGACAGGTTGTTTCTGTATTGATATTACATGTAAATGATGTATATTCTGTCAATACGAAATAAGTCATTGATTAAATGACTAACATGTCCTTACAGGACCAATACTGATGCTGGTAATAGACAGAACAAGTACACGACGTATACATCATTTAAAATCCTGTGGTGCACAAAATATTTAGTCAGATGAAACTTCCCTACCAGTAAATAAAAGAGACAATGAAAGCACAAGATGTAGATTACATGCAAACATCCATATGTGCCAGTTTAGTTTTAAATCACTTGCATGTATATAAATTTTAATACTACGTAATTAATCCCAAATAATTGTCTGATCAAAATGTAAAATGAGTGGTGCACAATGGCACTATGTAAAAAAAAGATTCTTTGAATGTCTCAGTAAATGTCATTTAGTGGTATAGGAAGAGTTGCGGATAAGAGATGGGTAGCCCCAATATTAGACAAAGAGTTGCCGTGTTTATGTTTTGCTATGGAAAACCCAAAATTCTGGCCAATCAAAATATAAAATAAGAGATGAACAATGGCACTATGCAATAAAGGTTCTGTGAAAGTCTAATTAAATTTCATTCATTGGTATAGGAGGATCTGTGGATAAGAAAATGGTACTCCTAATGTTATGGACGTATAGACACCCCCATCCTGATGTACCTCCTGCTTTTCAAGAGCGGATTGGGGTGGGGTGGGGGTGGGGGAGTATATAACAAGAGGCTCATGGGCCACAATGCTCACCTTGGTCAATATGGCCCTGTCGGTCTTCATCAGCAGATTTCTTCTTCTATATATTCATAAGTTAAACTTTGATCGCTCTCAGGTGTCATGTTTTGAACAAAAATGAATCTAAATTATCTGGGGATCCTTCCATATTCATGAATTTGTTGTTCTTGAGAACAGAATTTTAAAGACATGTGCCACCTTGACCTGGGGGTCATGATTTGAGCAAAATTGAATCTTACATTACCTGAGGATGCTTCCATATCAATGTGACTAGTCATGACCTTGCTGTTTTTGAGAAGATTTTCAAAGAATTTTTTCCGATATATTCCTATGTAAAACTTTGATCCCCAATTACAGCCCCACCCTACCCCAGGGATCATGATTTGAATAAACTTGAATCTACACTATACAACGAAGATTTCACACAAGTTTCAACTTTTCTGGCCTAATGGTTCTTAAGAAGAAGATTTTTGAAAAATAACACCAGATTTTCACCAATTCTTAATTATCTCTCTTAGAAGAGGATGTGGCCCTTCTTTTGAACAAACTTGAATATCCTTCACCCAAGGATGCTTTGTGGCAAGTTTTGTTGAATTTGGTCCAGTGATTCTTGAGAAATAGTTGAAAATGTCAAAAATTTTACAGACGGACAGACAGGCGGACAGACGGATGCCAGACAAAATGTGATTATGTCTCATGTGAGCTTAAAATGTTCAGACAGACATGCAGATATGGTGATTCTTGTACACCCTTAACAACTTTGTGTTGGGTTTGAAATGAAACACAAAGTCAAGTCTCACTAGTATTACCCCTGCTCTCACGTGAATTTGGAACAGATAGATGCATGGATAAACAGAAAGTTGATATCGATTCTTAAAAAAATGAATCCTATTATATGGCATTCCAAAACAAAGAGTGTGCTAACAAAAAAGAGTAGTTGCAAATCAAAAATGCGACAAAAATTTAACTGACAGACACACACACAAGGGTTAAACAGTATACTTCCCTCTCCTTCAGGGTGGGGTTATAATAATAATACCTTGATACCATTCAGAACTTCTGTCAGGAGTTTTATTCGATTGTCTTTTTCTTTCATCTTGGATTTCTGCAATGTCTGCATTTTACTCATGATGAATCCATTGAAAGGAAACAAAAGAATAATGAATCCTAGACCAGCAAACATGGCATATTTAAAAGTGTCATACAGGAAGTAGAGGGCGACACCTGTCTGAAGCAAAGATGACCAGACTAACCACAGATAAGGGATCAAATGTTGAATATTCTCTGTGTCCACTGACATCAAGTTAACAATTTCACCCACAGTTGAACCTTTCTTTGCTTCGTTGTTCATTGTTAAAGCCTAAATATTGAAGAAATCGGAAATTAGTACCCCATTAAAAAATTTTCTTGATTCTTTTAAACTCACTGCTTGTATAAGGAAAAAATAAAGCTAGATCCACTTCCTTCTTATTTGAACTGCCTTGGCATAGTAAAACTTTAAAAGTACAACTTCCTCTCACCCCACCCCACCCCGTACCCAAGCTTCGGGAACCACAGAAAGGACATACTTTAAAGTTTAAAACAGCGTTTAAAGAAATCTGCCATCTTGTAAAACATGCAACAAAAAGAGCTCCTTTGACCTTTTTATGCACAGCTGACACTAAACAAGCCCTGATTCTGAGTCCTAATGCCACACTCCAGTAGAATAGCTGATGGAAGAAAACAGACTGCAGAAGCACGGTCAGGAAAAAGCCGGCCGCCAACACATAGCCTTTCCAATCTTCCCTCCATGTGGTGTCAGTGGGGTCATTCTCAGAAAACTGGATTAGGTACCTGAAACAATAGACTACAATTTGACAATGAATCCATTTTTTAACACTGAAAACTCTCTTTTTTCATTGAGTCATATAAATTCTGATTACTGTTCAATCTACAAAGAGAAAATCACAAAGAATTTTTGGATTGGCTTCAAGTGTCCTAAATGAATTTTTCATATGATGATAAATTTCCACAGAAAAATTGTGACTGTGTACACAGTGTAAACTATCCCCACAAGAAAATAAGTACACCTCAGTATTACTGTTATGGGTGAATTTAAAAAAAAATTACCACCAAATTGAAATTTAAAAAAAAAATTCAACTACCCATAACATATTTTTCACTTATATCATCATATTGTAAATGCATTCTAGTTAAAACTCCCGAAGTTGCAATAGAATAGACAATTGGATAAAAAAGTTTCAGAATTTTTATTAATAAAACTTTATTTGAAAAAAGAAAATATAGAGGATATTCAATGTTTTGTAGATGAATATGGAATTTATTTCACGAGTTGGACAGGATGTTTTGATATTTTCACTCGTGCTTCGCACTCGCGAAAATATCAAAACATCCTGTCCCACTCGTGAAATAAATTCTATATTCATCTACAAAACATTGAATTTTCTGTTTATTACATTTTCTTAGATTTTCCCTTTGCCTCTGTGTGCCATAGGCTGTGACGTCATAGTTGAGCGGTTGAAACGTCATAGCCAAGAGATTGCGAGATTGAAAAACATTGTAAACATGAATTTTTAACGATATATTTGGAAAAACTTTGGCAGTTTAACTATTAGTCTCTGTTGGGATGGCTCATTAACTCTATCTTATAAAAGACCAAGGATTTTTTAAAAACACTCTTTGTGAAGGGAAAGAAAATCGTAACTTTTGGCGCACTTCTGACATTCTTACACTGTGAGAATACCATTTTTGATATCCTTTTACACTTTGTAAGAATATCACTTTTATTCAATAAATAATTTACAGTATTTCACTGTTGAAAATGTAATAAATCACTATATCCTAAAAGGCTCTCTAAAATACAAAAGAAATTATAGTGTTTTATGCTTCCAAATGGTATCAGGGATATAAATGATTAGATCTAAACCTTGATTAAGTTTCTTTTCTTATATATGTGGAAAAAAGTTAGCTCTTTGATTGTTATTTTACATTATCTTTTTCAATTCTGGTTTAAAAGGTTTTAATATGAAAGAAACATGATATCTCTCAGTTGATTCGATACGCAAGAGCATGCTCTACGTATGTACATTTTCTAAAACGAGGTAAATTATTGACAAATGAGTTGATGAAACAAGAATATCAGCTGTCTCGTTTAAAGTCATCATTTCGTAAGTTCTATGGTCGATACAATGACCTTGTCAGCAAATACAATTTATCATTGAGTCAAATGCTGACTGACGTTTTTCACACTTATAATTGTTAGGCCATTATTTACACACTGAATTGTCGACGGATTTTTCCGTTATTTCCCGACAATGACAAGGAGCACACGGCGGGTGTGACCGGTCGGCAGGGGATGCTCACTCCTCCATGGCACCTGATCCCACCTCTGATGTTTGGAGGTCCGTGTTTGCTCTGCTCCTATTTTGTATTGATTAATGGACTTTTGAGCTTGAATACTGTTCGTTATCTCCATATATTTCATGAAACAATAAAATTCCTCCCAAATCATTTTTGTCCATTTAAGTCAGTTCTTTAAATTAAAGCCAAAAGACAATTTTGACATGCAAGTTTTCTTACAAAAAATACTAGATTTTGAAGTGACCCTTTGTTACATTATTGTGTTGCACTCCTGACATCTGATATCCGATTTTATTTAACATTGTTTAAAAAAAATTATAACACACAATAACCCATTCTTAGTTTGTAAATCAGTTCGTTGTTTTGATATTTTTTATCATTTACGGCAAGTTTTTCATATTTTCAAGACTTCAGAACATGTTTTTTTGGAATGTGTAATATATATACAATATATTTAAAAATATACGTTAAGTGATGAAAACTATTCTCTGAATTAACTGTAAAATGTCTGTAATTAGTTGATAGACATAATGTTTTGAACATCAAATTGTATCAAACATTTTTTTCGATTTCTTTTTAATAAAGATAGATGAAGATCATTGATAATTATAAAAAAGTTTTGTTACACTCCTGACTGCAGTAAAATTAAAAATTAAAACCACGTAACACAAAAATTCACAAAGTGTTGGGAATATCTAGTGGTAAGGAAATTGTGCATTATTTACAGTCCAATAATTCATAATTAAAATACATGAAAATTATTTAAACTTGACTTTATATCTTGAATTATTCTCTATTTATGTAAAAAAAAAAACTAGCTAAAATATATATTCAGAAGATAAAATATATGTTATAGTATATTTTCCTTCCCAGGACAAACACTGTAAGCAACCAGAAACATTCTACACATCAATTTTTTCTTTATATTTATTTACATTTGATCAGCAATAATTCTATCATATTTGTTGCACTCCTTACCAAGAGCATGGGAGTCTTTAAAGTAGAATTGTGAAATGAAAATTATATTAGAAATTGTTCTGTTGTTTCAGTGACGTTGAGGTGGAATTACTTGAACTTTATAACAATTTTTCAGTGTGTTTATTTTTCACATTCTTAGAAAAAATCAAAGAAAAGATAAAAGACATCTGAATTGATAAAATTGAAAGAGAAGGATTTTCATCATAAAACTGTCAATAATTTAGTACTAAATTATTCAAATAGATCATTATTAATTAAAGAATATTTCTTAGCATGAGTAGAAGTCTTCTCATCATATAACTTGAATCTTTAAAAAAGTGTGTTGCACTCCGACCATAGAATTATAGATCTGAAACACAGGTATACCCTGTAATTGATAAATCTATATGGTAAAAATGTTCTCTGCATCTTTATTTGCCAAAATAAAATCAGAGAATCATATACTGATAAAAGTTTTTTCATGCTTGGGAACAAAACATCAAATGTTGCACTCCTGACATTATTGAGTATGCACAGATACTTGACTCTCATTAATGCTGCTTGTGATTTTTATAACATTTTTAAGTTTTTTAAAAATTGTATATCAGTTATTGTTTTACACTTTGAAAATTCTTTTTTTGACTTAATTGTCTTTCAGATTTTAAAAATGGATGTTTTTTTTGATAACACTACATTTTTTCTGTTGCACTCCTGACATGGTATAACATTTTTTTTCAACATCAGTCATGACCACAACTTGATCAAACAAAAGTTGCTACAGTCTACATTTAAAGCTCAATATTTCCAACATAAACCATTAGCATTTATTTCACAGATCTTTAAATAATACTGAATTATCAAAATGTCACAAAAAGGTGTTGCACTTTTGACATTTTTAGCATAATTTTTGGGCATATCTGTTTTTTGCGAATTGAGATATCACTGAGATATTTGGCAGGTATTTAGACACTCTCTAAAGACATATTCTTTGACAAAGAAATTTATTCTCATTGCCTGTACTTTTAGTGCAGGTCAAAAAAAATATGTGTTTGGTCATTTTTTTTAAATTACCCTTATGTGGGTCTTTTTTCTCCTTATTTACGCCATGTTGTAAAATTTCAGAGCCCTATGGGGTCTAATTTGTGTAAAAGGCAATAATTCTGTCAAAATTGAATTAATGCTAAATGAGGATATTTTCAAACCTTGTTTGGATTATACATATAATCATAAATGTCATATTTAGGTCCATAATCATCACTCAATAATAGATATTTTGTATACCAAGTAGGTTTTACGTGACTGATTACTTACTTCAAAAGTTGAGGAAGAACAAAAACAAGAATATCATAAAAGAGCTTGAAAATCTGTGCATGAAGCAGTTCCCATCCAAACGTTTTAAAGAGCACTTTTAACAGAGAGGGGCCTGGAACATTGGTTTCTTTCTTTGATTTTTCTGCTTCACTTTTAGGCAGAAGTGGTGATTTCTCTGACGTTTCCTCCTGTATGCTGGTATAGTGACTTGAATGCTGAGTCACAGTGGTGGGGCCTGACACAACAGAAACTGTCAGGGATTTTCTGGAAAGGGAGATAATTCTTATTAAATGTTAAATCCAAACTGTATGTAAATTTTAAATTGGCTGTTCTTCATGTACGACTCATTTCCTTTTTTGATATTTTTTTTCTATGCTTCATTTGAGTATAGAAGAGATTAAATCCTATTACGTGTCTTGCGTACATTTCTGAAATAAAATCTATGACCTCATTTTATAACAGATTTGCTCTTACTTATTTTTTTGTTCGTGAAATTTGTCCTTTTCTCTCTCCCATTTAGCCTCAAATCTCGGTATGACAGTTTTGGACTGTTCTCTTGGATTTAATAAAAAGATATCCTCTGTCACCGATGTTTTGTAGCCAGAAATCATCAAACTGTTAACACAAAAAAGAATGTGAAACTAAAAAAATTTAAAAAGATGAATTTGAAATTATTTCTAATATCTTAGGTGAATCTGAAATTACTGAATTTTCTTTCATTTTACTGTGACCTGTTTATCCACCAAAATGTTATTCGAGATAGAAATGACGCTCGTAGCTCTGGACATTCTTTCTGTAAAATAGAAGTAAAATAAGTGAGTCTGGTAGACTTATTTTTTTTCCACGTGGGATTGTTTTTGCCATGTACCTGATGTATGCAGTATGTCACAGATTTTTCATAGAAATTGTCACAGTGTACTTTAAAAAATACATGTAACATTAATGGTGATCATGACCGTCCTAGAAATCCATGTTAATTTTCTACTCATGGATTGAAAAGAAATTGCTGGTGACCCCATGGAAAAAAAAGTATGTTTTCAGTATGTAAAGTTAGTAATCTGCATTTAAATGTTGCTTTTTCATTTCATTATTACTCATTCATAATTATAAAATTCCTTGACATGAAATAACATGTACATGTATGTTTATATATGGGTCTCAAATAATTTTGACAAAGAAATCAATTTTTTTTTAAAACAAAGCTATGATGAATTGTACGAGTTCATTCTATATACATTATAATTCATTTATAATTATATAATTTAATTTAATACATCTTCACATTATCATAGTTTTATGAAATAAAACAGCATTTCTATATAATTCACTGCAAATGCCTTATATTATTATCGTAGGTAAAAGTGTACACTCCGCTTACAATACACGTACCTCTGTTTGAGGTTTGCTGGATTTGTCTGCTGTGCAGTAAAGGATCCCCTGAAGAATGGCCAGACCAAAATAAACATTAAAGACACTAAAACTCAAAGGCTTATCCTTGTATTCCTGTAATAAGGTAGAAAGACAGTGTTACAAGTCAAATACAGTGAGTATTTCTAACATACATGTACATGTATATGACTCTAAAGTTTGTAGAAATTGATTGTTAAGGAGCAAGTACTGTGAATTATTTGCAACAACTTTAATTTGTGATTTATCAGTTTGAAAATGGTTCACTCTAGTACTAATTGATGTAGAGAAGAAATACACTTAAATGAATCATTTGCAGCCACAAATATTCACAAGCTATAGATTGTGAAACTTGCTCGGAAATGTCTCGCAAATGAAAGTGTTAATTATATGTTTATATTCATAGCATATATAAAAGATTTACTGCACAAGTGGTTCACAGAGCATTTGGTGCAAACATGAATGTATAATTTCTATGTATAATATTGTACGTATTACATGTATATTTAAATTAAATCATATACTTCAGAAATGTCCATGCAATCTAACAATAAAGCAATAAAGGCACTAAATTATAAAATCTGCTAAAATATACATAAGACATGATACATATTCAATACAGAGAGTATTTACAATGCGTTTGCTATTATATGTATATTTTGTTACCTTTGTGTTGATCATATGGTAGAATGGAATAATACATGTAATAATATTAATGGTCCAATACATGAACAGCACCCCTGAAGTCACAAATCCTTTCTGTCTCTCTAGGAATATGTACAGCAAAACTAAAAGCTAAAACATCAAAAATTAAAAAAAACCTACTATATATGAACTTTAAAAAGCGGGCTTCAAATTTTAGCGGCTTTGGCGGGGAGAGCAATGCGCTAATTCATGAATACCGTTAATAAATCATTTATAAATACAATACTGTAAACCAACTTTTATTCGCGTCGAACTTTTATTCGCGATTCTTTAGTTTGACATCAATCTGCGACGATTAATTTTCGCGACTGAGGAATTATTCTATACAAATGCTAAGCAAAATAAATGGTTCGCGGCGATTAATATTCGCGAGTTAAAATAGGTTGCGAAACTCAAGAATATTTCTCGCACGCGAATAAAAGTTGGTTTACAGTATACGGCACGGACGTATGTAGCGCTAATTCATGATTACGCCAACCACTCATATCCACTGATTATGTTAAATTTTGAATCCGTCAATTTATGTACACATACAGTATATAGGAAAAGTAAACAAGGCATAATACAATCAGTCAAAAAATCAGTCCAAAGGTCACAAGAAGAATATCTTTTTCCATAAATTTATGCGATAATTTTAATGACAAGATTTTGAGGAAGCAATTTTCCCATGACAACGTTATGTTTTCCAGGTGTTTCAAATTTTTTTTTCAGCGTTTTTACTTACTTTGATTAATACAGCTTTGAAAACCTAATACGTTCTTTCACTGTAAAATTGCCACAAATTACTGGGACATCTACAAGCTTAGAGCAATGCAAAGACTTACCAGCGTAATTGCTTCTATACATGGCCCAATCAACCAGGCTTTCAAAAAAGAGTTTGATGCTGACCAATCATGAGTCGTTGATACTATTTCTATAATTACAGGGGTAAGGGAACATAGAGTTAAAACCTGAAAACCAAAAATATTCATAGTAATTATTCATAAAGTCAAACAAGACAGTTAATTAGTATGTTTCAAACAGAAATACAGTGTTTCTTATTTGTGGGCACTCTAATCTTTTTTTCTCAAATATTTATTAGAATTTAAAATTTCTACTTTGTTTTTCTTTTACTCACATGACACAATAATAATTATACTTTCAATTGATGATTTTAGTATCAATTTATCAAGACAAAATGTGCTGCTTGACTGCTTTATAACATCTTATTTGCTTAAAATGTACTTAATTTTAAAATCGAATTAAATCAAATTAAAAAAATCTAACTCACTGCTTTTGCGACAAACTTGAGAGTTATGGGGTTGGGACAGTCTTTTTGTATTGTCAAGTAATAGATATAAAAAGGGGAGGTAATCCACAGCCATCCACTGGCCACCCAGATCAACACAGTAAACTGAAAGCAGTCTGTGAATTCTGGCCAGCTGTTCCTCCATGTTAGGGTGGTATTCTGAAAAATACAAGAAAATTAAATAATAATTCAGCATGCTTTATAATGGATCCAATGAAATCAAGATCTAGCTAAATAATAATATGCCCAACTTATTAAGTTTATCATTATTTAAAAGATTGAGCGAGAAACATTTCTACAAATAAATTAAATATATTGGCACAGCTTGATGTTGATAGAAGAAAGAGTGAGCTGGTAGTTCACAGAAAAAAAATATAACCATTAATTGACAGGGTTGCAGTGGAGAGAAGCAAGTGACAGGAAGATTCTACTGATAAGCGTATTTAACCCTATACCTTGCAATGTACTGGAGTTGTCTATATACAAGAAAATTGGGCTAAGAATTTCTTGCAAGTCAAACCTTTTTCAAGATCCCTGCAGGTTTTTTTAATTCCATTTGCCCTGGGCTACTTTTTATGCCCCTGTACATATGTAATCAAAGATTGGGGGGCATAAAGTTTTTGCCCTGTCTGTCTGTTTGTCCGCAAAAACTTCAACCTTGCCCATCACTTTTTATTGGTTGGGGCTATGGCTTTCATATTTTATGTGTGTATTCCTTGTGACAAGACCTTTCTTTGTGTACATTCAAATCTGACCTTTTGTCCTTGGAGTTTGACCCACTTTTGCTAAATTTTATCAGACTTCAACCTTGGCCATAACTTTTCAATGGTTGGTGTTAGGGCTTTCATATTTAAGATTTATATATTTATTGACTCATGGCTGTCTTTACTGAAAACTTCAAGCAAAATATCTATATTTTCATTCCTCTGGCCTATTAAGCATGTTTCAAAGTTAAGATGCCAATAAAGTGTGCGTTGGGAGGGGGGGGGGGAGTATACGTACACAGACCCAAGTATTAACAGAATTTTTTACGGTGTAAATTTTACAATCTTAAATTAAAACAAGAAGGGGATCCTGTATCACCTGCATACCATGACCAGATATTTTTAAAATATTGCCCAATTATAGAATTATTCTAATACTTAGAGGATCAGCATCCATTTTTGAAAAATGGTTTAATTGTTACCAATTGTTATCTGAACTCGGAATACATTCGCTGAATTCACTGAACCATGTAGTATTTTGACATTATAATCTAAGCATATCTTGGATTTGTAGTTTTTGCAGTATTCAATGTATTAAATTATCATTGCACAAGTAAAAAATTATTAGTTCTCTAAATAATTATACTTAGGGCCTATACAAATGGTGCCTGTTTTGGACTGCGCAACAGTTGAAATTGAAACCCCGTAGCGGAGGTTGACAGTAGTTTTCTGAAGAGTGTCAATTTCAACTGCTACTCTCTAAAACAGACACTATTTATTTGATTATACTGAATGTCATATGATTTAGGACGTAAGCAAACAAATTCGGAAATCGTTTAGAAAAACTTTCGAACTCCCCGCTTCTATTATATTCTTCGAAAAGGATTTAACGACCTATTTAATTTTTTTTTGTGTTTGATACTCAGGGACTCCTTTATCATCGAAAGTTTCTATATTTTTGCACTTGCAAGCATTTTTCGTCTGTCGTTTTCAATCAAGGTACATTGGAGGCGAGCTTAGATTGACGTCAAGTTTATTTGGCTTCTTTCAAACGCACAACTGACGTTTTTGGAATTCTACGGCGAACCGTACGCGCATAATTTACACGCATGTGACATTATCGTCGTGTTCATCGATGTCAAGTGTGTTGCTAAGGCTTAGGGTAACATATACATTTATTGACTGCGTTCGAGGGCAACATGCGTTTTGCCGGACCCAAGAACCAAACTGTTTGCCTGAGGCCGTTAGGCCGAAGGCAAACAGTTTGGTTCGAGGGGTCGACAAAACGCATTTTGCCCGAGAACACAGTCAATAAATGTTTTGTTATACCTTTTACTTTTTATTTTGACATAACATGATGTAAATTTTGTTTACCCGCACTGCGGTTTCAACTTGGTCGATTCCGTAAAGTTCTGTCGAACTCCAATGAATGCAAATGAGATACAGCTGACCCCGCCCATACTGTGAAAAAGCGGTCCAACATCTTATCGACAGGTCCATTATCTCGCTCTGCGGTCAAACATTGATTTTTTTATGACCACTCAGTAAAACATTGGAAATGTTAGACTTTTTTTTGAGTATAGAATTATATAGGAAACAATTTTTAAAGGTTTAACAATACGAATTGTTAATTGAGGTTAAACCAATCAGATTTCAGTATTTAACATGAAAGTATAATAAAATACGATACTACAGATATACAGAATGAAAGATATGGAGATAACGAACAGTATTCAAGCTCGAAAGTCCATTAAGCAATATAAAATAGGAGCAGAGCAAACACGGACCTCCAAAACATCAGAATTGGGATCAGGTGCCATGGAAGAGTGAGCATCCCCTGCCGACCGGTCACACCCGCCGAGTGCTCCTTGTCATGATCGGGAAAATCCGTCGACAATTCCGTTGACAATTCCGTGTGTAAATAATAGTCTAACAATTAGTATGAAAAACGTCAGTCAGTATTTGACTCAATGATAAATTGTATGTATTTGCTGACAAGGCATTGTATCGACCATAGAACTTACGCAATGATGACTTGAAACGAGACTGCTGATATTCTTGTTTCATCAACTTGTTTGTCAATAATTTACGTCGTTTTAGAAATTGTATGTACGTAGAGCATGCTCTTGAGTATCGAATCAACTGAGAGATATAAACCCCGTATGTAGGTGATGAAAGTATATTGCTGCATAAGTAAGGGAAGTTGACGATTGAAAAGTTAATTAAAAGTCATCACGTTTATCATAAAGCTTGGTTGTTAGATTACCATTAACGTCTTTTTCAAGTAAAATATCCAAATATGAAACAGATGTGTCAGACTCTGTGGTATCTTTTATCTCAAGCTCATCAGGATATATCGTATCGACATAAGAATGGAAATAGCCATTGTTGATTGACAATACGTCGTCGATATATCTAAATGACGAGTTAAAGGCCACAGCAAGTGTTTTCTTCTTTTCACGTATAAGATTTTGGACAAATTCTGCTTCATATGAATACAAAAAAAAAGTTCTGCTAATAACGGGGCGCAATTGGTTATGTTTTTCTTTAATTGAACATTATCAAAATTTATAAATTTATTTAAATTTTTAAATAATGTGTGGAATTCAATTATATCACTTAATAACTTTGATATTCTGGAAGAACTCGTTCAAATAAAATATTGGCCTTCATTTCCTCTAATTATGACCTTATACCATGTATTGTAAACACTAGGAAATATTGTACATACTCAGTCTGGTGGAAAATAAATTTGAGCCAACATGTCCAAAATTTTCAATACATGTTCCAATATACTAGATTTTTTTTTATAGAAATGTGATACCAATTTTATCATTTCTAGGAAACACCATGTTGGCTTTAATGTTATGTGCAGTACATGTACATCATTTACAAAGTATCAAATCCTTATGTGTCAAATTAACCACAAAATTATAATGTACATGAGGCCTACATATTATCAAGGAAGTTTTTTTCTACTTTAAAATAACATCTGAGTGATATGACCATTCCATTGCAGAACAATTGAAAAGCATACACTGTACTGTACAAGATTTACATCAAAGAATGAATAAAAAAAACCCCGTAGATTTTCTTGTTCCTTGCAAAACATGAAAATTTAATCACTATTAGGTTACTTAGTATTTAGAACATGCATTTTACATGAACTAAATATTCCAATATCGATTTTGTCTAATGTCAATTAAGTAAGCCACATGTGAAAGTTTAAAAATACCGTCTGCTCCCTATACTATGTAATCATGTATACAGGTCTGCAGTTTATGGTGTTTGATCCACCCCACTTACCCATAAAACTGATCCATTGCAGAAATCCTCCATCCCAGCACTTTTTCATGTGTACATAAGAAAGCACTTGGTATGCAGATGAAACCCAGTACTACATATTGCACCATACAGACACAGCAAAACGTGTATCCGTTCCGCTACAGTTTTTCAGTATTACTCTCTCATCGCTAAGAAGACGAGTGATTCCCGTGTACTCTGGAAGACAGCATCCTTTACAATACGATGCTAGAGTTACCTGCCCTTAGTAAATGTGTTCGAACGCGCACTCATCAGTTTTTCGAAAGAAACACAACGAAATAATGCTGTCTATCACTGACATCTAAGTAAAGGATTTTTGTTTTATGCATATTTTAAGTGTCTTCATGGTGAAAAGTGTTGATGTACACTCTTAACGCACTTTGAAAATAGATTTCAACGTGCGTTAATTGATTTTGTCCTAAATTTACGGAAGCGTATTGCTGCCACGTAATATTTATTTCAAATTTGGTAATTCCGACTTTAAAATTCGTTTTTCTAACAGTTGGTAATTCCAACTTTAATCTTGGCTTTTCGAACTTTAACGTCTGTAATTCCAACTTTAATCTTAGCTTTTCCAACTTTAATTTGAGCTTTCTAGCCCTTTTCCTTAGCTTATTTCTTTATTTTGAATAAAAATTATTACCAACTTTATTAATGTAAAATACACTCAAATAGATTCGTGAGCAATTAATCTGCGTCGATTGTTTTTTTTACCTTGACCTTCCCTATGACCTTACATATAACTTCCAACTTTTAATTAAAAACCCTTGTATTTCTTTTGGTCCATCTTATATAATTATATTGAGAAGAACTTCATATAGTGTACAACTCCGTACATGACAGGATTTCAACCAAACCTGTTAATAAGAGATGAGACATATTTTGTTTTGTTTGAGAGAATAAGCTTATTAAACAAATGAGATCATTATTAGGTATTTGATATATAGGATGAATCAACACTATGTAACATGTACATGCTGCAAATACAACTGAACTAAATATATCAATTTTGTATATGAAAACACTATGAAATAATTCCCTCTATAATCATAATTTTATAATTAAATCGTTTCTTTCCATTGTAATTACATGTAAAAAGCATACATGTAGAAAGTATCTAAATATATCACATAGAGCCGTACAAAGATGGGAAAGTCAAGATAAAGTTGGAAAAGCCAACTTTAAAGATGGGAAAAAACGCCAAAATTAATGTTGGAATTACCAATTTTAAAGTTGGAAAAGCGAAGATTAAAGTTGGAATTACCAACTTCGAAGTTGGAAACTTGGAATTGCCAACTTTAAAGTTGGAAAAGCCAAGATTAAATCTGGAATTACAATTCTAATTTTAACGCACTTTGAAAAAAAATTTCAAAGTGCGAAATTTATTCCCACAGTGCACATGTCTACAGAAATCTACTGAATACGTACTTTTCCTTTCTATGGGAATTGGATTGCATAACACGTACGGGCTTCATTATTAAAATAATGCATTAAAGGGGAAGCATTATAGGTACACGTGGATTTCTGATATACTCTATTAAATATATTCCCCAGAAAAACTAAAACGGCGGTCAATGTAGACTACTGTGACTACAACTACAATGTAGTATTAAATAACTGGGGGAACAATTTTCACACTTTTTCCAAACATTGAAAATGTTCATTAAAAGGCATGTGCCCCTTTTGGTTAAAACACACATGTAGTCAGATCATTCCTTGATAGCGTATTAATAAAATATATTAGTGAGAAAAAGTTGGAACCTATCCCCACCCCCTCCACGAAATAGGTATTTCTACTTCGGATAATGGATGGATGATATATTTTTCTTGCCAATTTGTTTCTGGAAAGTTGTGAAGTGCCCCCCTCCCCTCCCCCAATCTTTTTTTCTTCTTCAAAAACCACGTATTACGTGCTTGTTTTGAAAATCAGTTCAATTGTGATTTTCTTTGAGAGTCTCATAGAATTATTAAGGTAAACGCCTAAAACAACACCGTTTATTCATAATTACACAAATATACCTGTTATCATACGTATGATGGCATATTTCCAGCCCCCCTCTTCCACTTGTCCGATAATTATGTCGACTTGTCAGATGTTTTTGTTAACTTTTCACTTATTCACGTTTAAAAATTCAACATCAAATGCGCCCATGCCCATTTTAGGCCATCAATGGACAGTATATTTTTCTGACAAGTCGACATAAGTATCTGACAAGTCAATATAAAGATCTGTCAAGTCAACATAAAGATATATTATCTGATAAGGCAACGTAATTTTCTGACAAGTCGACATAACATTCTATAATTCAACATCATTTTCTGACAAGTTTACAATAACTTCTGGCAAGCCGACTTATCAGAAAATTACGTCGACTTTTTAGATTATTAATGATATCGACTTGTCAGAAAATATACATGTATTTACTTGTCGGAAAATCATGTCGACTTGTCAGATGTAGATGTCAGTTTATAGTGGCGTTAACATGCTGTAATAACAATTAAGATACCAAGTTCCTGGTCGTACGGAAGCGCAAAGGTCTCTACACTTGTGTTATTTCTTGTATATGGTCCTATTTGTTATGGTCATATCAACATATGAAGTGTTTAAACTCCTTATTTAAACACAAATTATGGATTGTATTAAGTTGTTTGAATATAATTTAAGGCACCTTCCTTTACTTGATTATTTTATTGCTGTAAGTTAAATCGACTTAAAATGATATTGATTTGAAAATATCTATCAAAGCAAGAGATTATATTAAATCTATATAATAAAGTCGATATGTAATAATAAATATAGAGCAATATCGGTATAAATATATTAATATTTCCTGAAAAAAGTGAGAAAATATTATCAGAATTAACTTTGCGCGAGCGGGAATTCTTATTAAACGTCACTCGGAATTCGTAGACAGCACCAGTATCATGTGTTTGCTATCGTATACGATTATAGTGTGTTGCATATATTATTTATGAGATTCAGAAATGTTTTGAAGAAGAAGGATAGAGAGACATCAGCAGTTACTAGTACACAGTACTGTACTCTACTGTACATGTAGATTATAGGTGTAGACATAGGGGCTACTTGTCCCCCACCGACACTTTAAAAAAAATTCAATAATGGCAATATACAGAATTATGACCTTTGTAGCATAGGGACCATAAGAAAAATTTGGATTAATTGCCACTTTGTAGTGTAACAATTGAAACAACGTACCAATAGTTTATAGTTATAATTTTAGCTGCTTTAATAATTATTTAACTTTTAATCAAGAAACTTATTATTTGATACACCTTGAATTGTACTAATCTGATAAAAGTAAAGTTGATGTCACATACTGATAAAATTTAATAAGTATGCTCTGCATGTGTACACTTTCTAAAGGGAGGCAAGCTATTGACAAATAAGTTGAAAACACAATGATATCAACAGTCTCGTTTTAAGTCAACGTTTATCAAATTCTATGCTCGATACAATGACATTGTAAGCAAATACAGTCTATCGTTCAGTCAATTGTTGACATATGTTTTTCATACAAATTATCAGGCCATTATTTTCACCTGAATTCTGTTTGCCCGATCATGACAAGGCGGGCGTAAACAGGGGACAGGGGATCCTCCATGCTACCTGATCCCACCCCTGATGTTTTAGAGGTCCGTGTTTGCTCTGCTTCCAATTTGTATTGTTCCAATGAATTTTTGACCTTTGTTACCATTAGTTATCTTCATTATTCATTGGAATGTTTTGAGATGTGGAAATTTGGACGACACGTGCGCCATTGCCTTTTTTTCACCACTTACATAAAAATGTATCTTTAAAGAAATAGGATAAGATTAAAACATAAATTTGAAATCCCTTTGCTGAATTAAAATCAAGTAATATCATATTTCTTCCTTGGAACATGTTACATCTTTATTATTTGGTTGCATTTCAGGCTATAATTACTTTTATTTTTGAATTCATAACTTTATAAAATTTATTATTTTAATTATTTACTTGAAATACTTTGTTTTCATGGTAACGTATGTAAAAGTTGATTTCCAAAATATGTTTATCATGCATTTAAAACATCAGGCCTTTAATTTTTAGAAACAGTCATTGTCACTTTTTTGCATTGCTGCAAACATTAACCATATGCCTCTAAGTGTGTTAAAAACGCCATATTTCAAACTTAAAGGCATGTTGCAATAGTAGCCATATGACACAGCAACAATTTCCCCTGATTTGACTTAACGGTATCAAAGACTTTTATCATAGAGAGTTTGGAGAAATTCTGAGAATATGCGTGCAATAGCTCCTGTATAAAAGTTTAATTCATTACAAAGATACAGAGAATGCCTCTTTGATTGCCATGAATAGTTATATGTTACTAATTTTATTTCTAACTGACCTGCAACATTGATACTATAGGACCTTTCTTTTCTTTAAAACATGCGCGGATCTAGCGGGGAGTCAGGTCCTCCTCCAGGGATTTTAAGACTTTTCAAATTTGTATGGTAAAGCTGTAAGGAAAAGATGTTCTTATGACCTCACAGAAAACATAGACCCCCTGGTAAAATGGGAACGAGAGTCGAATCATTAATGTTAATACATATGAAGGAAAGCGGACCCCCCTCCCCCCCGAAAAAAGGAGAGTTTTTTGGGGGATTTAGACAAGTTGATTACGTTTTTTTCTTAAAGCTTCTGCATAAAAAGTAAAACATCTGAACAAAAGAATAAAATTCAGAGATTAACTTTTTTTTAGTGGAATGGAACCCCCACCCCACTCCCGAAAAAAAAAATCCTAGAAATTTAATAACACCTATTAGAAGAGATAAGATTGCAAGCCGTATTCTACAATGTACAAAACAAAAAGACATATCCCTGACCGGAAAGAACAGTGATAGAAGAATTTTTCCATATTATGTAATTTTTTCCTCGTGTCATTTCAACTAGCAGTCCCATGTTGAACTGTTGAACCTCATTTTATGTCCTATTGTATTCGTTTGTTTATCATTACAAGTAGGACGGAATGGGAAATCTTGTCTTACTTTTAATCCCCTTTGTAGGTAATTCTGA